CCCCCGCCCCACCCCGCCTCCTGGCCTGCCAGCCTAGCAGGCTGAACAAAGACTCTCACAGCCATGGGACCCTGGAGCGCCTGGGGCAGCCAGGAGGCCAGAGGAGCTTAGGCATGAAATGTATTAACTGTCCTTCTGTGTTTCAGATATAATAAACTCCCCTCTTTCTCTGAGAGGTTTCTGATCTTTTTTTATTGTTTCACTTTTTCTGGCTTTTGGTTTTCTTGGAGACAGGGTCTCTCTATGCAGTGCAGGCTGACCTTGAACTCACAGTGATCCTCCTGCCTCAGCCTCCGAATAGAGGTTACAAGTATGGGTGGTACCATGCCCGGTTCTCAGTTCCTTCTTTAAACATTTCATCCCCAAAATTTAAACCATTCAAAAGCACAAAGGACTCTGGGCCTGCAAGAGCTGTCTCCCGGCTGCTGCAGCTACTAAACCAAGGTCACCAGCTGCATTCCTTGCCAACCTCTCTGTGAGTTGCTGAGGCAAATCCCTCGAGGTGGAGGTGTGACCAGCTCCTGCCTAGACGCTCATTCAAACACAGAATGTTTAAAAAAAAGAGGGCCAAGGGCTGGGGATTTAGCTCAGTGGTTTCACCACCTGCTGCCCAAGCGCAAAGACCCAAGTTCGATCCCCCATACCAAAAAAAAAAAAAAAAAAGAGGACTGGGGATGTAGCTCAGTGGCACCACACCTGCCTCACAAGCACAAGGTCCTTCGTTTGATCCCCGAAAGAAAGAAAGAAAGAAAGAAAGAAAGAAGGAAAGAAAGAAAGAAAGGGCGGGGATTTAGCTCAGTGGTTTCGTGCCGCAAGCACAAGGACCCAAGTTCGATCCCGGTACCAAAAATAAATAAATAAAAACAGGAAAAAAATCCCTTTAAAAAAAAAAGAAAGAAAGAAAGAAAAGACACAATGACCATGGTCCTATTATTATTTTTAAAACTCAACAAGCCAGTTGTGGTGGTGCATGTGTGTAATCCTAGCACTCGGCAGGCTTGGGATATATAGTGAGACCCTACCTAAAACAAAATCAACAGAAATTCCTGGATGTAATCAAATGCTTATCTGTATCCAAGGTTTTCTGATGACTTTGTAAATGCAATTTTATAATCAGTTCCTTTGAACAAGATCCAAACAGGCTCCACCCTTCAGTGTTTGCCCTCGGGGTTTCCCTGAGGTATGAATTTGCTGCTGCATTTCCCACTCTGGTTTGACTCCACTGCTCTAGACTGGAGGTCAGACCCAGGTGGGCCTTACTTGGCAGGCACACTTCCAGAGACGCTGCCCTGCCTCACATCAGCAGGCAGATGCTGTCTGCCCTCTGGCACTATGGCAGCTAGCATATAGGTCCTTATTTTGAATAATAATGGAATTAAAACTAACCGCACAAATTTGTAGGGAAAAGCTTAAATTAGAAAGTGAAATCTGGCCCTGGGGCACATGCCTGTAATCCCAGAGGGGAGGCGGGAGGACTGCTGTGAGTTCCAGCCCAGCCTGGGTACACAGTGAGACCTTGTGTCAAAAACCAAATGAGTATTTCACTCTCAAATGCTCCCTACTTGTTCAGAGTAGCTGTCTGCCCCTCTCTTCCCGCTTTCCCCCACCTTTAAATAAACCATCTTTAAAAAAGAAAGTGAAAGAAAATGGCAAGAGATTTTAGGTTGCAGAGCTGACGAGTAAAGGCTGTCCCTCAACAAAGGAGTAAGAACAGTAGGAAATGGCTTACTCAGGTGAGGGGGCCTGGTCCACCTGACCCACAGCTAGAGGGGGGCTACCTTTTTTCTTAGGTGTTTGAGACAGGGTCTCCCGATGGAGATCACGACAGACTTGAACTCATGTGTGTCAGGTAAAAGGGCCGAAGACCAAGATCAGACCAGGCCACAGCAAGCCTTTATTAGGGGAATAGATCTGCCGGATTGTCTCTGAACAAAGGAGAAACAAAAGCAATATGGCCAGGGCAGGGAGAGTCTTTTATAGAGACTGGGGTGGGGTTCGTAGGGGCAGAGGCGGGGTTGAGTGAGGTAGTGACTGGGGAATGGAGGAGCCAGTGATGTCACTAGGTGGTAGGAGGAGAGGGAGTATGAGGTTACTTTCTAGGCGGGAACAGGGGCATGCTGGGAAGAAGGGTTTGTTCTTTGGTGGGAGCAGCCATCTTGGCATGACGTCACACAGAGGAAGGGGCAAGGCACCATAGGAAGAGGGCAGCTACGATACACAATAGCTGCTGGGGTGCTGGGAGACCTGTCAATGTGCAGCCCAGGCTGGTCCCCGACTCACAGTGATCCTCCTGCCTCAGCCTCCAGAGGGCTGGGATCACCTATGTAACTGCTATGTGGGCTCAGGCTGTTTTCTTTGTTACCATGGCCTCTTAATTGACCTTCTCCCCCTGGCCTGAGTCAGTGCCTCTGCTGCTGCCGCCCCTCAGCCTGAGCGTCAGATCCAAGTCCCTTGGGCAGCTCTCAGGCCTTCCCAAGTCCAACCCCATTCAGTCCTGGCTGGAAGCACCTGTCCTTGTGAGTCACCAGCCCTTTCTGGAAACCAACCCCATCTTCAGGACTAGCTGGGTGTCAGTGCCATGTCACCTTCTTTGAATCTTGGTAATATTCATTGCTTTATGCAATCTGATTTCTGAAGCCCCAGGACCGACCATCCTGGGAGCTGAGGATTAGGGCTGCTTCTGCCTTTCAGATCCCTTCTACTGGATCAGCCCCGGAGTGCTGGTCCTCATCGCCGTGCTGCCCGTGCTCCTCCTGCAGATCTCCGTGGGCTTGGTCTTCCTCTGCCTGCAGCACAGACTGAGAGGTAGGGGGCAGAGCTGGCCAGGGCTCCTTCCCTGACAGGGACTGGCCTTTTACAGCCAGGCCAGTTAGGGTGCACTCCTGAGAGACTTCCGGTTCAGAGCTCCATAAGGACAACAAACGCGTTGTACAACCCTGTTTCCCTGAAAATAAAGCCCAGGCAGAAAAATCATCAGCCTGGCACACTAGAGATCAAAATGCCGGCCCACATCGGCCTATCCTCAACGCATGGAACCGACTGAAAGCTGCCTGTGGACAATACTGATGGAGCAGAAATAGAAATTCCAACCTGCTAGATGTCAGATGTGCCCTGTCTGTGTCCCATGAAATCGAAGAATGAATTCCAAAGGAGAACAGAGATTAATAGTAGGAGAGAGGTTTTTTTGGGAACTAGGGATTGAACTTGGGTCCTTGCACTTGCTAGGTGGGTGGCAGAACCACTGAGCTAAATCCCTGGCCCAATAGTAGGAGCGGTTCATCAAGAGTTCCTGAGAGACAGGTGGGGTCCTGCGTGGGTTGCCACGAGTACCCGTGTCGGGTAATTTATACAGCAAATGTGGGTACAACGTGGGGCAGACTGCAATCCACCTACAGGATTACAAGTGTAGCCACTTAGCTAGCACTGATCCAATAGGGAAACGAGTCACGTAGGGAGGGCGGGTGGAAAGAACAAAGGCATTTGGGGAAGGGGTAAGTTCAGGTGCTCTGGTCACCCACCCAGGAAACTGATGCCTAGCTCACTTCCTGGACCAGGTGGTGCTACTCACAGAATAATTCCAAGTCACTGCTATCCCTTGGGGAGGCATGTGAGCCTAGCTATTGCATCTTCTTTCTTTCTTTTTCTTTTTCCTGGTACTGGGATCAAACTCAGGACCTCACGTCTGCCAGGCAGGCACTGTGCCGCTGAGCCACATCCCTGGCCCCTGCCCGTTGCTTCTTTACCTTCGAGCTCAGCCTTCTTCGGATGCGCCTCCTCTAGCCACAGTTCCGATGTCTGTATTCCTTTTGGGCCAACTTCCTCACGAGCCCAGCCCCTCTCTGACTGTACATTAACTTCTAACTCCGCTGCCTGTAATAATCAGAACTTGCTTCTCTTGAGCACTGTCTAACGCAGCCCAGCCCCATTCTGGAGGGGAGGCAGGTGAGCCCAGGCCTGTTCCGTGGCTGACGAACGGACAGGATTCTGCGGGGCAGAGCGCAGGGCCCAGCACTGCACGGAGCAGCTTCAGCTCCTGGGCGTGCGCGAACGCCAAAGTCCGGCCAGCCCGAGCTGCTGGGAGCCTAAGGACTCAGAAGGGAAAATCTCTGACCTAGCACGTGCTCGGAACAGTTTCCTCCGCCATCTCCACTGACACTGAGCAGAACAAGCTCTTCTGTGCCCAGAGCATCCGACGGAGTCCCCACTTCTCCCTCAAGGCCAAAACACAAGGACTCCCAGCCCTCACCCTCCTGTTACCAAGAAGATAGCACAGCGAGCTGGGTTGGACGAGCGAGGCAGCAGGGGCGTCAGTCGGATCAGTGGTGGGGTCTTCTCTCACCTTGAACTCATCCAGATGCTTGGTTCTCCAAAGAAAGGGTTCCAGCCGTCAGAGCTGAACTGGGAGAAGTGGAACAGAGACGGGTGTGGTGGCGCAAGCCTGGAATCCCAGCGCTCAGGGGCTGAGGCAGGATTGCTATTTGCTGGGCTGCTTGCCTTTCTTGTTTAATCCAAATCGTAGCCAGGCCAGACCCTGAACTCTGGAATCCAGTGCCCTTCCCACACTCCGAAGGTGCCGCCGGTGGCTAGGGACAGTCCCTACAAAAGGGCCAGGGTGCCGGGGGTGGAAGGGTCCCCATCTAATGCCAGAGCAGGAACTAAAAATACTGCCTTTTTCTATTTTAGGGAAACTTCGAGCTGAAATAGGTGAGCTCCAGACCCTCTTCTCTCCACTTATCCTTTTTGGTCTTTTGAAATAACTGAAATGGTCATTTTCTTGGCTCACCTCTGCCTCTCTTCCAATACTTGTGCTCCCTTCAGTTGAAAATGAAGCTGGTAAAAATCCTGACCACCCAAGACTTAAGAGAAAATCTTTGCTGTCCCCCGTCTTCCCTCAGGGTAGAAGTAAAACCCTACAGCTTCCTCCATTGTGTCGGATTGGAGCCAATTTTAACTGATTAAATAGGGAAAGGGAAGGGGTCCCTCTTGAGTACTCTACTAAACCCATTTCTGCTTGTTCCTCTTTCAGAGAATCTGCACCGGACTTTTGGTGAGTGCGGCCTTCCGTCCCATCTCCCTCGGGTTTCAGGGCCCCTCCCTGGCTTCTCTGCTTTTCTCTGAAGATGCTGTCATGCATCTAGGATAATTGATAGCAAATACTTATACACCCAGACACTGTCTAGCTGAGGTGAGACATACCGGAACAGGAAAACAAAGCCCACACCATCTCCTGTCCTCTGACCGAATGAGCTCGACTCAGGGCTTCTGGAGGAAGACAAGGCCACCACACCCCACTAGAAATCGATCCCTTTTCTTATTACTCCAGACTATCCAGTGCCTAAACCCAAGGACAACAGAAGAGCCTGCAGGTGTTTGTGTTTCTGGAGAGGATATCTCACTATGCAGCTCCGGCTGGCCTTGAACTCGCCATGTAGCCCAGGCTGGCTTTGAACTTGCAGTGATCCTCCTGCCTCAGCCTCTGAGTGCTGGGATTACAGGCCTGGCTGAGTATGAGATCGGAACACCGTTTATATCAGCAGCAGACCCCTTCAAGAATGTTTCTGTTCTTCAGGGCAGGCTATGGAGACCTGGGCCTTGTATATGCTAGACAGGTGCTCTCCCATGAGCCACATCCCTGGCCCCACAGTAACGTTTGTAAATGAACACATAAAATAGTGTGTGTGTGTGTGTGTCACAGGATCACAAAGTCATTACATTGAAAGTTATCAACATCTGAAGAAATCTGATATAACACATTGCTTTAAGTAACAAAAGTAATGCATTAAATAATGTAGCAGCAACCCTAATAATGTAATTTCAAAATATAACATAAGCAGGGCCGGGGATTTAGCTCAGTGGTTCTGCCGCCTGCCTCACAAGTGCAAGGACCTGAGTTCGATCCCCGGTACCAAAAAAAAAAAAATACATAAACATAACAAAATAAACATAAACAGTATCTGGAGATTTCTGTAACAACTTTAATGGAAAAAAAAAAAATGGGAACAATGAGCCAGATTCAGAAAGACAAGAATCTTGTGTTTTCCCAAATGTGGAATCTAGGAATAATAAAAAAGTCATGAAAGTAGAGACTGTTAGATAAGAAAAAGGGTATCAGGAAGAGGGTTTGTGGGATGGATGTGATCAATGTTGCATGCATGTATAAAAAGGCCACAAAATGCAGTATTTTGCTCAATTTAACATGGCCAGTTATCTACTTCTGTATATATCTATCATCTGTGATTTCCACTGGTGATTCACAGGTACCACTGATTTGTGGGTTTTGGTGTCTGCAGTTCTAGAGACTGAACAGGGGGCCAACAGGTGCCAGGCAAGCCCTCTACCACGGAAGCACATCCTCAGCACTGGTGCATTTGCGTGTGTGCACGTGTGTGTGCGCACCTGGTAGTGGGGACTGAACCCAGAGGTTCACCACTGAGCTACATCCCCCATCCCTTTTTATGAGACAAGGTCTAAGTGGCCAAGCCTGGCCTCAAACTTGCGAACCTCTGGCCTCAGTCTCTACAGTAGCTGGGATTACTGCCATGCATCACTGGGCCCAATTTATTGCTTGTATTTTAATGAAGAAAGTCCTTGCTGAGCATGGTGATGCATGCCTGTAATCCCAGCACTTGAAAGGCTGAGACAGGAGGATCATGAGTTCAAAGTCAGCCTGAACTACACAGAGTTCAAGGCTAGCCTGGACTCCATAGAGACCCCGTCTCAAAAAAAAAAAAAAGAGTATGCTAAATCTAGCTAGGTAAGGTGGCACGCCTGTAATCCCAGCACGCAGGAGGCGGAGGCAGGAGGATCACTGTGAGTTCCAGGCCAGCCTGGGGTACACAGTGAGTTCAAGACAGCCTAAAATACAGGGAGACCTTGTTTCAACCCCACACACACCACAAAATAAGAAATCCAATAAAAAACCAGGTGTGGTGGCACACCTGTAATCTCAGCTACTTAGGAGGCTGAGGCAGCAGGATCAAATTCCAGTCTAGCCTAAGTAACTTTGTGAGAACTTGTCTCAACAAATACATACTTTTCTAAAGGGCTAAGGATGTAGCTTAGTGATAGAGCTTGCCTAGGATGTGTGAAGCCCAGGTTCAATCCCCAGTGAACTGAAAAGAAAAAGAAAAGGAAGGAAAAACCCAATGAGGAGGAAAAAGCTGGGTAGGGCACAAAGCAAAACATATTAACCTCGCTTGTTCTGGTGGGTAATCCAGATGCCCACTTCCTGAGGGTGCCCTGCTGGAAGATAAGCCTGTTTGTGATCGTGCCGGTTCTTGGACCTCTGGTTGCCTTGATCATCTGCTACAACTGGCTACACCGAAGATTAGCAGGTGCGGCGTCTGGTGGCGACCTGGCCTCTGAGCAGTGGGGACCACATCCCGCCCCGCGTGGGAAGCTGAGGGCCGGGGCCGGGGCCCTTGCTGCTCCAGAGCTCGTGCTTCCTTCTCTGCCCTACACCCCGCCTGGGCTCCCCAGATCCCGAGAGCCCCTTAGGGCTTCAGGGCCCACGGGGAGGGTGGGAGGGAGGCAGGGAGGCGGACATCTTGCACTGACCACCTGTTTCTCTGTTTGCAGGGCAGTTTCTTGAGGAGCTAAGTAAGTCCTCTCTTCTAAGCTAAGAAGGAAAAGCCAGAGAGAGCAGATCAAAGCAAGAAGAAAAGGGGGGTGGCGCTGGAGGTTCCCGACCCCAGAGCAAGAAGGGGCTGGCGCGTGTGCAGTGTAGGGTAGGCAGCAAGGGAGCCAGGTACCCCACCTGCCACCTGTGTAACCCACGGCCAGAGCCCTCCCCATTCGCCACAGCAGCTGCCTGTGCGCCACCCCAAGACCACCCAGTGGCAGGGAGAGGAGCCCAGAGAGCCTTGCAGGGCCCAGGGCCCATGGTTTCATAGGACACCACTGACAACTTTCTTCTCTTTCCAGGGAACCCCTTCTGAGGGGGCTGCGTCCTGGAGCGCCGGCTCCTTGGGGATGCCTCGTCCACTGAGCTGCACGCCCCTCCTCTCTGCAGCAGAGACATTTCAATCCGCACTTGCAGACCACAAATTTCAAATGCAGCTGACTTCCGCTTGCCTTTTCCTCCCTCCCTCCCTCCCTCCCTGCCTCCCCTCCCCATGTCTTGCTATCCTCTCCATCTCCATCTCCCTCTGCCCAAGGCCAGGTGGGTGCTCTTCTCGCTGTCAGAGGACACCGTCTTGCAGGATGACAGACCACAGGCCCTCGGCTGCTACCTGGAGATCAGGTGCACCCTCCTCACACAGCAAATGGCGGCTGCTGCTCTGAGACTGCGGCCCTGACTGGACAGAACTGAGGGGCAGGGGCAGAAGGCAAAGGACAGGGAAATCCAAGTATCACAGAGGAAGCTGAGAAAACTGCGGAGTACGGATGCGGTGGACCTAACGCAAACCTGGAGCTGAGGAGACCCAAGAACTCAGGCCAGGGCTCCATCCTGCGCAGCAGCCAAGGGAGGTGGCTGCGAAGGCGGATCTGCCCGAGACGTTTGCCTCCTCCTGCCTGCACCCCTCAGCCTCACCTCACCTCTTTCCCCATCTTTACACTTATCAGAGCACCCACGGTTTTATTCAACTACTGATTAAAAAAAACAACCACTACTTGATGGTCTATCAGACACACAGAAACAGCTAGGTGTTAATTAACAGCAACACGACTTTCCGTGTGCACATTTCTGCTCCCTCTTCCTTGCTGTCCGCTTCACCTCTCTCCCTCTATCCAGGCTGCCCGATGCCCGCAGCTCAGTCCTCAGGGAAACTAGCACAAGGAAAGACCTCACCAGAGGGCCTTCCTTTATGCTCCGGGACCCTCACTGCCCCCTTTGCCTGTCTCCTGTGCACACTTTCTCCCTTACCTCCCCTCTCCTGAGGGTATGGACCCTAAAAGCTCTGTTTCCTCCATGTTTCCAATCCTTCCCGGCCACAGGGGAGGTGGCGTCGTGAAAGAAGCCAAGCCACTGGCCCAGGACCAGCCGGCACTCCTGGGGGCTCCCCGGGCACTGTCCCCTGCCCTGAGAGCCCTTCCAGTGGTCCAGCAGGCCCTCTTTCTCCCCAAAGCAGAGCTCACAGATGGGACAACGGTAGACCTTCTGCCTCCAGTGGGTCTGCTGGTGGCGGGCCAGCCTGGAGGAGGAGCTGAAGGCCTGGCCACAGTGGAAGCAGCGGAGCAGCTGCTCCCTGAGGTGCGCCTCCTGGTGCCTGGAGAGGTAGGCCCTCCTGCTGAAAGTCACAGGACAGTGTGGGCAAGAGAAGACCTTGCGTCTTGAGGGCTTCACTGGCAGACAGCTGGGTCTGCTATCCAGGCAGGGTCCCCTGGCGCTGGGCACCCGGCTCCTGGTCACTGGTGCTTGACTCTTAGGTTCAGGTACCTGGGTCTGGGCCCCAGGACCCTTAGTTCTACACACAAGGCGCTGGGTCCTGGCTGCTGGTGCATGGTTCACATCCACAAGCCCCTGTTGGGACTGCTGGCCCCTGAGGATGGGAGCCTGGAACCCCACTGCAGAGCCTGGAATCCCAACAATGCTCGTGGGGTTTCCAGCTGCTGGCTCTTGATTCTGGTGAATCTTCTGGTGACGTTTGAGCTCTGACTGGTCCCGAAAGCCCTTCCCACACACGGGGCACGAATGGGGCCGATAGCCCAGATGGACACGGCGGTGACGGCTAAGTCCAGAGGCATCACAGTAGGTCTTGTCACACAGCGAGCAGCAGAAGGGCCGTTCCCCGAGGTGCATGCGCCTGTGGTAGCTCAGGGCCTTGGGGTTTCGAAACAGCTTCCCACACTGACCACAGCTGTTGGCCTTCCTGGGGCTGTGGACAAACTGGTGGCTGTGGAGGTAGGAGCTCTTGTTGAAACCCTTGCCACAGGTGTGGCAGGAAAAGGGCAGCCCACCCTGGGGTGCCTGGAACACCGCGCTCCTGTCCTGGGACCCAGCCAGAGCCGAGGGTGGGCTCTGGCCGGGCCCTCTGTGAGCACAGGGGCCCTTCCTGTCACCGGCCCCAGCATCTTCCAGAGTCTGACCAGGCTCTTGACATTGTTTCCTCTTGCTTCCTGCAGTGAATGAGGGAGAATAATCCAAGCTGCACCATGGGAGTCAGCATAGGCTTCCGCCTCAGTGCAAGGCCCTCCCTCCCCCACCCAGCACATCTCCTCCTCCTCAGGACCTCAGGAGCTGGGGATAAGAGAAGCTTCAGGGTTTTCAGATTCTAAGCAAATAAGAATCCAACTGGAATCTTCCAACAATGCCAGTGATCTAAATGGTTTTTTTTGGTAGTGGAGAGCAAACTCAGAACCGTGCAGAGGCAGGCGCAGCACCACTGAGCTAAATCCCTGACCCAGCAATCTAAATTTTAACTTACAGCTGCATTCCTTAAACCCCGTCTTCTCTCATGTTCGCACCCCCAGATGCCACATGATATACAGTAACACCCCCACCTGTAACTTTGCTCCTCATGGTTTCAGTCACCCAGGGTCAACCGCAGCCCAAAATACCAAGTGGAAAACATCTTGAGAAAGACAACATTCACAAAACTTATTCCAGACTATGACAGCTGCTCTATTCTGTTACTGTTTAATCTCTTTCTGTGCCTAACTTACACGTTAGACTTTATCACAAGTATGCACACACAGGGTAAAGCAGTTGTCTGCGGCTGTGGCTCCTGACACCCCCTGGGGTTTGGGATGAGTCCCCCATGCACAGAGGAGGACCCCCCACCGCAGTGCTGGGCATGGGACCCAGGCCTCTTGCATGCTAAGCAAGTGCTCTACCACTGATGTGTAACCCAGCCCAGGAGAGGACTCTTCTGTCATGAAGCTGGGACACTTGAGAGCAAAATTATTAACAATGAATAATTATTATAAATAATCAAGATGGGAGCCGGGGATTTCTTTAGCTCAGTGGTTCTGCCACCTGCCTCGAAAGCTCAAGGTCCCAAGTTCAGTCCCCGGGAGTGTAACCAGCCTGGCTTGACACCTCTCAACTTTTTTATTTATTTTACTATTTTTTTTCAGTACTGGGGATTAAGCTACATCCCCAGTTCTTTTAAAAAATTTTATGTCGAGACAGGGTTTCTCTAAGCCCAACCAGGACTTGAACTTGGGACCCTTCTGCCTCAGCCTTCCAAAGGGCTGAGTTACAGGCAACGCCACTGCGCCTGGCATCTCGCGATCCTTTATTTCCAGGGACAAGCCTCCTCTCCTCTAGCTCACCATCTAGTTTATCTTCCTTGCCTCCCTTTTTTTAGTTACTAGCAACCAACATGCACTCACTCACTCAGTGCCAACACACTGCCAACACTCGCTTCCCTCGAGGGGCTTCGATACTCACTGTGAAGTCAAGGCCCTTGGGCCTCTGACCTCGAGGTCTGACCGGACTGGAGAGGTTCGGGGAGAAGGCCACACAGATCCTCGATCCTCTCAGTCAGCTCGCCCTCCCTCCAGGGACTCTCCCGGGCTCATCTTCTCTCCTTCGCAGCTCTTACCTGAAGGGAGGGCTTCTCCGCGTGGGGAATGGGGATCTGCTCTCCTCTGCCTCTCTCCTTCCTCAGGCTTCGCGATCAGACCTGGTTTCAGCATAAATATTTTGGCTGGTGAGTGAGAATGAGAAAGAGTTCAGTTGGACCTAGGCTCGGACTCTTCACTTTCGAGGGGGACAAGAGGCCACCTCTCGCAGGCCTGCTTTGCGAGGTTCAATCTGAGTCACTTGCATGCAGGAGGAAGACATGCAAAAGGCCAGCTCCAGCCCAGTGCCTGGCACACGAGTGACTCAGAGGCTTCCAGTCCCTGCCCCCACCCAGCTGGTCTACCTGCCCGGTGATATTCCAGGCCCCAGCACAGCGGCTTGATGGAGGGACCCCAGCATCTTACCCACAGACACTAGGTTCCGGAAGGTTTCGGACATAACATCACGGTGGAGGGCCCTCTGACTGGCACCCAGGCATTCCCACTCTTCCTGGGTGAAACTCACTGCCACATCCTCCAAGGTGACGGGCATCTAGAACAGGACACACCCGGGAAGAATGTGTAACAGTGAGACTGACAGCTGCTCTCGGGGTTCAGAGCACGGAACCTACAGGAAAAACAAAGCCCTGGAAGGAAGAGGGATACGGAAAGTACAGAAAGACAGGCACAAAGCCAGCAACTGTGACCTCTCAAAAGGGCAGAGAAGAGAAGTGGAGGGAAATACACTGAAAATAAGAAAAAAAAAACCAGAACAATAAAGGCTGCCCCTGCGCCCCCCATTTCAGGAACCACCCCACTAAGGACAGCAGGGCAGTGCAGGGCACTGAGGTTTGCACCTCCTTTCCCTGTTTAGCTGGGGTCAGTCTGAGACCCACCAGGCAGGGAAAGGATAAAAGAGCTGCTGGGTCAGGGATGTAGCTCAGTGGTGCTGTGCCTGCCTGGCAAGCACGAGGTCCTTCGTTTGATCCCTGGTACCGAAGGGAAAAAAAGAAGAGCCCCTGGTGAAGGACTGGCCCCTCTCTAGCTCAGTACCCGCACTGTCCCTACATCTTCTAGCAGTGGTCGCTCTTCTTGGCTTTCTGAGCAGTTGCTGTTACCCAGCTTGCTCGAACAAGCCGTACCTTCTCTTCCATGGTACCTCTTTCTAGTTTTATCCACTCCTGGCCTGGTCGCCAGGGCTGAGACTCCTGAGGGCTCTCAACATCTCCGTAAATGGGCAGATGGAGACACCCAGCAAAGGCCACCACCGGTCTGGACGTGGCTTCCTGTGAGAAACTGGTCTGCTCCAAGGAGCTGTCTTCCCTGCTAGCTCCGCTGGCCAAGCTCTCCTCTGTGGCAATGGAGAACACCTCTGATACCTTCCCAGCGCAGGCCAGAGAGTTCAGGGCCCTGGACACACTGGGCTCGGCGGCCATTGCCCAGTAATGGCAGGCTGGGGCCAGTATCTGCAGCCTGCTCCAGCTCACACAGCTCTAGTCACAGCGGGGGCTCACCTCTCGGGAAACCTGAGGTCAGAGAGAAACATAACATCTCAGCAAGAGGGAGAGTAAAAACAAGGCCTTCCTGTTTGGTTAGGGAAGGCCAAGGGCTATCAGTGCTTTCCTGTATGCCCTGAACCCTCTCAGCAGCACCCCAGGAGGTAACAGGTACTGGTAACACCTTCATTTGTGTTTGTTTTGGTTTTTTGAGACAGGGTCTTCCCATGTTCTATGCTAGCCTTGAACTCACCATCCTCTTGTCTCAGCCTCCCGGAGTTGGGATTACAGGAAAGCACCACCACGCCCAGCTATAGATCCCATGTTAAGGGACCTAAAGCATGGAGATGCTGAGTAACTTATCCAAGGACACTCTTGATGTGTGAGATATTTTTGTTTTGTGTTGTGTTTTGACTTTTTGAGACAGGGTCTGGCGATGTAGTTCAGGCTGGTCTTGAATTCACTCTGCAACCCAGGCTGGCCTCAAACTTGCAGTGATCCCCCTGGCTCAGCCTCCCTATAGGTTTGCTCCACCATGCAGGCAGAAGCTGGTGTTTAGAATCAGTGCCACTGAGAAGCATAAGCCAGGGACAATCGGGCCAGGATCAGTCACAAACCACTGTGCCAGTCTCTTCATTCTCTGACTTGGTTTCACTGGAAATGTGGGAATGAAGAAAACACTAAGAACCCTACCAGAACTACCAGAATATATGATTGTATGACCCGGATTTTCTCCCCCAGGCTTGGAGATCAAACTCAGGACCTTGGTAGACAAGCATTCTACCACTGGGAACTGGACTCTGAATATACAGATGCTCCAACTTACAGTGGGGTGATGTCCTGATGAAAATGCTGTCCTGTTAGAAATGCATTCAATGCACTTAACCTATAGAACACCACAGCTAGGCTGGCCCTGGTAGCACATACCTATAATTCCAGCGCTCAGGGGGCTGAGGCGGGAGGATCACCATGAGTTCGAAGCCAGCCTGGGCTACACAATGAGTTCAAGGCCAGCCTGACTTCATAGTGAGACCCTGTCTCAACTCCCTCCCCCAAAAAGTGAACACCATAGCTTTGCAAAACAGCACAGCATGGAGAGCAGCCCTTAGTTCCCCAGCTGACGTAGTGGCTGACTGGGCGCTGCAAACTGCTGTCACTACCCAGCATCGAGAGGGTATCAGCGTCTTCACAAGCTTAACTATCACGTGGTTTCTCTTATGTAAGTAACCTAATCCATAAAGAGCCAAATTTTTTTAAAAAACAGGTAACAGGAAATAAGGAGATAGATCTTTTGCAAATGGGACACCAAGAGGTGGAGGGAGAGGGGAAGAAGGGGTCAGGACAGAGACATAAAGCAATTGAGAGGTGTCATGTACGCGCCCCAACTCCCCGTGATGACTGTAGCTATGAGGCACTGCAAACATGTACTAATAAAAAGAGAAATGTAAATAAATCTTTGAGATACATTCAAACAGAGAATGGACATCAGTGTCTTATATACCGTGTATTACTAGCCTGGGGACAGGACTCAAACCAAAATCCAAAGCACAATTTCAACTGAATGTAGAAGGCTTTCCCATCATTACAAAGGGCACAGGTCTGTAATCCCAGCCCAGGCAGGACTCGAGTTTCAGGGCTACACAGTGAGTTCAAGGCCAGCTCGAACTACACAGCCAGACCCTGTTTCAACAACAACAAAAACACAAAATCGCAAGTTGAACCATCACAGGCACACCTGAAAGTCAGGGGTCCTCCCAGCTGGACCCTTGCACCTCGAGAGTCCCTGTGGATGGAGGGCTGAGCCCCTTCCGCTGGGAGCCACCCACCCACATCTCACCTCCCACCGGATGCTGGGAAAAGAGCAAGGGTTTAAAAATCAGAGGGCTTTTTTTCCCCTTTCCCTTTGGAAGGGTGGTAGAATTGAAAATATCAGCAAGGAAAAAGGTATTTGAGGAATAGTTAATCAGATCCCCAAAAGGTGCCAGGAGATGGGCCGGGGATTTATCCCAGTGGTTCCAGTGCCTGCCGTGCAAGCGCAAGGTCCCGAGTTCGATCCCTGGTCACCCCCCGCCCAGAAAAAACCCCAAACAAACAAACAAAAAGGGGCCAGGAGAGCTGCAGGATCCGAAGTTGATTTTCCTCCTTCCTTCCCCTCCCCCCTTTCCGTCCAGGCTCTTCAGGCCTGCGCTGTGAAGTGTGCGGAGCCAGGATTACTTTCCCACTTTCCAGTCAGCCACACTCCAAACAGCTTCAGTCAGGGTCCCCGTGGACCTGGCTTCGGACTCCTGTCGTCTCCAGCCCTCACCATGGCATTTGCTGCGGGTGGTGGGAAGCAGTCGCGGGCGGGATCCTACCCCGGCCTGGGCTGCTCCTGCCCCGCACCCTCGGGGCGCGCTGGGCCAGGGCTTCAGGGCTCTGGACCCGCGCGCGGGGGGCGCTGCAGGGCCAGGGTCGCACGCGGCCCCTCCGGGCACTGGCCGCCCCACCCTCGCAGTGCAGTGCCCCTCCGCGGGAAGCACCGCCGCTTCCGCTCGCCTCCACTCGCCCTTTGCCTCAACAGCAGCTCCAGGGCCGAAGTTCTGGGTCCCGCCTCGCCCCGCACACAGCCACGTGCTCCCAAGAGCCTAGAGCGCGGAGCTCCCGAGGTCGGGCGCGCTCTCCTGCCGACTGCCACGTGGGGACCAGACACGCGCCCTCCGCCGCTCCCGCCGCGCCGTACTCACCCCGGGCGCACGGACCACCCGACGCCAGACCCAGGAGCGCCTGGGCCACAGCCGGAGCCCCGCCCACAGCCCAAGCCCCGCCCACGCCCTCAGGCCACGCCACGCCCCGTCCGTGGAGCGCCTCGCCCCCTACCCCGCCTGACCACCCCCCTTCCAGGGGCGCTGTCCCGGGTCGCCGGTGACGCCCTTGGGCGGTGGTCCCGCGACGTCCACAGTTTGCGTCCAGAGAAACCCGACGCCTAAAGCCCCGCCCGCTAGCCCTCTTACCATTGACAGTCGCTGGCCCCACCTCACGCTAGGATTTCCACTCCTTCCCAGTCACAGGTTACTCTTGGAAAAAAATGAGGACTAATTCACCTTCGCTTTGTTGTAACCGAGCGAGTTGAAACCTTAGAGATGCGCCATGCTGAGTCAGATTTCAGTCCGTTTATTAATTTTTTTTAACATTTCCCTAAGAACTTTTTGTTTTCCATTAAATTTATTGGTACATTTTAGGCATACAATACAGTTACACACATAATTGGGATCTTGTTGGTTCCCATGTTTTCCCCACTCCCCTGCCCTCCCTTCAACCCCTCCACCCCTCTCTATTAACAAAGGCTTTGTTTCCATGTTTTCATTTTCTCATGTTAACTCCATTCCCTTCTTTCCCTTCCCACTTCCCCCTCCCCTTTGCTGATACAGGAATGAAAAGGTGCAGTCAAGTCCGTTTATTTAAAGCCAGCGACCAACAGGGGCTACTGCCCGGGAAGCACTGTGGGCCCTGAGAAGTGGTTTGGTTTCTCCTTTTAACCCATGCTTTCAGTTGGGGAGGACTCAGGGAAGGGCAACGGGAATTTTTCAGAAGCAGAACCACACCAGGTTAGTGGGAACAAGAGGAAGTTTCACACACTGGGTGATCTACAAAACATCCTGCAGCTGCAGCAAGTTTTCTGCCAAACGGGATGTGGGTTTGGGGTGCTTTGTGCAGCACAAGCACAAAATGGTGGTGAGGCTCAAGATGGAGTCGGGCTGGCTGTCACAGGTTGGCCCCTCAATACCGAGCTTTCCATTTTTGGCACACCTGTAACAATGGAACATAATAAAATGTTTTCTCTTCAAATTCTTGTTCCTTGAATTTCTCTAGGCAACATATATGAATTTCATGAAAAAATTGAAAAAATTGCAATCTTCAGCATAAATGGGTAAAAACAAATACAACCAGTAGAAATTTTTATGCTTACTTAGAGCCCAAAGGAAATTTCTAGGTTTGTTTTCTTGAGATAGTGTCTCACTATGTAGTTCAGGCTGGACTTAAACTAGTCTGGCCTTGGACTCCTGGTGATCCTCCTGCCTCAGCCTCCCAAGCACTGAGATTACAGGCCTGCTCCACTACACCCAGCCATTACAAGTTTTGATTTCTAGACCAGGGCTGTGGCTCAGTGGTAAAGTGCTTACCTGACATGAACTCACTAGGTAGCTCAGACAACACTGATATTTGCTCTTGAGGTGTGTGCTGATACAGTGGGTAGATCAATTCAGGATGCTGATTTCTCCTGAATCAGTTCTGTCTTTCAAGAGTAGAGCTCCTGCTGAGCCAACCATCCTCACTGGAGGAAAGATAGCCCCTTTAATAAATGGTGTTGGAAAAACTGGATTTCAACTTGCCAAAGATTAAAACTAGACCCCTATCCTTCACCATGCACAAAACTAAAATTGAAGTGGATTAAAGATCTAAATATTAAAACAGAAAAGTTAAACTTGCTGGAAGAGAGGTTAGGTAGAACTCTTGAAGACATTAGCATAGAAGACTTTATGAACAAAACCTCAGTAGCATGGGAACTAGCACAAAGAACCAACAACTGGGATCTCATCCTTTTTTTTTTTTTTGTACCAGGGATTGAACTCAGGACCTTGTGCTTGTGAGGCAGGTGGCAGAACCACTGAGCTAAATCCCCAGCCCTGGGATCTTATCTTATTAAAAAGCTTCTGCACTGCAAGAGAAACCACCAACAGAGCTAAGAGACAACCTACAATGTGGGAAAAAGTTTTCATCTGCTGTTCCTCAGACAGAGGACTACTATCTAGAATATATAAAGAACTGAAAAAAATCAGATCCCCCAAATGTAAAGATCCAGTTCAAAACTGGGCGTCTGAAATGAACAGACATTTCTGAAAGCAGTAAGAACAGCAAATAAACATATGAAAAAATGTTCAACATCACTGGTCATTCAACAGATGCAGATGAAAACAATACTGAGAGTCCACCTCACCCCAGGAGGAATGGCTGCTATCAAGAAATCAACCAATAACAAATGCTGGTGGGGGTGTAGAGAAAGGAAACCTTCTTCATTGTTGGTGGGAGTGCAGACTGGTGCAACCACTGTGGAAATCAGTATGGAGATACCTCAAAGAACTAGGGTTGGAGGTCCCATTTGACCCAGCTATTCCTCTGCTGGGTATCTTCCCAAAAGAATTAAAAGAATCATACCACAGCGATATATGTGCACCCATGTTTATAGCGGCACAGTTTGTAATGGGTAAAGCTTGGAAACAGCCCAAATGCTCATTAACTGCAGATTGGATGAAGAAGATGTGGTTTTTCTATAAAATGGAGTACTACTCAGTCATAAAGAACGAGAAACTAGAGACATTTATAGCTAAGTGGAAGCACATTGAGACCATCTTCTTAAGTGAGATAAATAGGACACACATGTGTAAATACTGAATAGTTTCTCTGGTGTGAAAAACTAAAAGTGTAAATAAGGATCAAAATGTATAACTGACATTGTGAAATAGGAAGAAAAGGTCTAAAGGGGTAGGGGAATGGGAGGGGTAGGGGAAAGGAAAGAAGGGAAAGGAAAAAATATGAGAAAGGAAAAAATGGAAACAAAATCTCTGTAACTAGGGAGGGGGGAGGGGCTGAAGGGAGGGCAGGGGAAGGGGGAAAAGATGGGAACCAAGATACATCATGTACAGGCACAAGATCCCAATGGTGAATGTAACCGTATTGTATGCCTAAAATGTACCAATAAACTCAATGGGAAAAAAAGTAGAGCTCCTTCTAAGGTCTTCTTGTTTTTCGGTAGGTTCCATAGCGTGTCCACACCTATGCATGCTTTAGCAGTCCAGGTGGGACTTGGACAGAGCCTGTTGTGGCCGGGGTGCAGGACAGAGGACCAAGCCTGGGCTCTGGTCACCACAGTAGAATGAAGTGACCTCCTGTCGCTCAGTGCCCTGAACGCAATGAACCCTTTTGTTTTGTGTGGGGGTTTTGTTTTGTTTTGTTTTTGTTTGCTTATTATTATTATTGTTTTATTTTGGTTTGGTTTTTGAAACAAGGTCTCACTATGCAGTTCCAGCTGGCGTTAAACTTACTTCGTAGCCCAGACTGGCTTCAGATTCTAAGCAATCCTCCTGCCTCAGCCTCCCAAGTGCTAGGATTACAGGTGTGCTTCACCACACCTGGCTCATCTTCCCTCCTTCCTTCCTTTTTTCCTTTCTCCCTTCCTGCCCTCCTCTTTCTCTTCCTCCTGCTCTTCTTTCTTCTGTCTCCCTTTCTTTCTTTTTCTTTCTTTCTTTCTTTCTTTCTCTTTCTTTCTTCCTTCCTCTTCCTTTCTTCCTGTCTGTGTCTCCCCCCCGCTTCTTTCTTTCTTTCTTTCTTCCAGTACTAAAGATTGAACTCAGGATCTTAAGCATGGTGGGCAAGTTCTCTAGAACTGAACTGCATCCCCTAGCCATTTATTTCCATTTAGTTTATTGGTACATTGTAGGCCTACAATACAGTTACATTCATCACTGGGATCTTGTACCCTTACATGACGCATCTTGGTTCCCATCTTTCCCCCCTTCCCCTGCCCTCCCTTCAGCCCCTCCACCCCTCCCTATTTACAAAGATTTTGTTTCCATTTTTTCCTTTCCTCATATTTTTCCTTTCCCTTCGCCCTCCAACTTCCCCTACTCTGTTAGACCTTTTCTTCCTATTTCACAATGTCAATTATACATTTTGATCCTTATATACATTTCAGTTTCTCACACCAGAGAAACTATTTGGTATTTATACCGTGTGTCCTATTTATTTCACTTAAGAGGTTGGCCTCGATATGCATCCATTTAGCTAAAAATGTCTCTAGTTTCTCATTCTTTATGGCTGAACAGTACTCCATTTTATAAAATTTTTTTAAAAAACACTTTTTTTTTTTTGATACCAGAGATCGAACTTGGGTCCTTGCACTTGTGAGGCAGGTGGTGGAACAACTGAGCTAAATCTCCAGCCCTTAAATGGTTGTGTGTGTGTGTGTGTGTGTGTGTGTGTGTGTGAAAACACATCTTTATCCAGTCTCCAGGTGATGGGCATTTGGGCTGTTTCCAAGTTTTCGCTATTACAAACTGGGCCGCTATAAACACGAGCATATATCACTATGGTATGATGCTTTTAATTCTTGTTTGTTTGCTTGTTTAGCACACTTAAGGAAATTTATTTTTTGCTTTATACATTAAAAAACTCTGAATAATGCATTTAAATTCAACCTTCTCATGCAAGGAGTTGCAAATGAAGTTTTAAATACAAGCTCTAAATTGCTTTAGGTTTACACTTTTAAAAAACTCAATGTACCAACAGCATATAAGAAAACATCAGATCTAAAATTAGTCAAGGCACAAACTTTGGAATTGGATCTGCTATTCTGCACCCAGTACCTGCAATGCACGACAGGATGGCTATTTCCACTGTAACCAGAATTAAGCAAAACAGGCACAAACTAAATCTTGCATTAACTACTGAAATCGGCGTTCAAATCTTTTGGGGTGAAAAGTTAGGTGTCAGAATCTTGCCCAATTTCGCTCCTCCCTTCAAGAGAGCGAATCCAATGGCTCAGCTCTTCCCAGGGCTTTAAGCACAGGGCAGCCACCCTCCACCCGATGCCCCCCGTGCCCCAAAGAGCACCCCAAAAACAAAAGGGATTCCCAGCCATTGTCCTCCACGGCGCTGAGCATCACCAGAACTATGATGCCTTTAATTCTTTGGGGAAGATACCTAGCAGAGAAATAG